CTGGGGGTGGGGGGATCCGACGCGCCGAAGCGCCGAGCAGGGGGCAGGCGGGGCGCCCTCAAGGGAGCAGCCGGCACCCTTCTCATCAGACACCCCCACATCCAGGAGGACAATGACATCCCGTTGTACCTGAAGGGCGGCTTCGTTGACAACATCCTATACCGAGTGACAATGGCTCTGAGTCTGGGAGGTGAGCGCAGGGCACAACCCGGCCGAGCTGCCGGGGAGGCGGGGCTGGACCCAGGGTAGGAGGCGGCTGGTTTCTGGCCAGGACTGACCAGGATCTGGGTTGGGGGTTGGCGTTTAGGAAGGGGGTGGAGTACTGAGCTGGAGGGAGGGGAGTAATAGGGCTTGGGCTCGTGTCCCAGGATGGGGGCTGGGCTAGTAGTGGGACTGAGGCCCAGGGAGGAGTTGGGGAGGAAGCTCCCAGCCTGATCTAGATCAACGCCAGGGGCCTTTACAATAGGAGTCCAATCTGGGAAGGGAGCTGGAGCCCAAACTAGAGCTGGGGTCCAGGCTGGGAACTCCGGAGTCTGAAGAAGGCCTTAAAAGCCCGGGATGTCCAGGGAGGGGATTAGGTCTCATTCTGTCTCCCTCGCTTCCCCTTTCTAGGCTCTGTCTACAGCCTGTACTGCCTTGGCTGGGCGTCCTTCCCCAGGAATTAAGACCAGGAAGCCTGGAGGGCCTGAGGGACTTGAACAAGTGTCAATAAACGCTGGCCTCTGTGTGTGTGTGTATGTGTGTGTCCACCCCTTCCCGCCAAGCCCATACTCCCACCAGCCAGCGATCTCTGCCTTGTGGACTGCGCACTACTGCCAGCCCTCAGTACCTCACGCTGGACCAGGGCTACTCCTAGGATGTCGCTGCCTCTGGGCCCTCTGCTGGGTACCCCAAACAGCACCCATAGGCTGCCCCTCGGGACCCGCGGACATGGGGTGGTGTCCTCAAGTGGGAAGGAAGACACTGACCATGGTCCATGACACAACAGAGGCAGAGGCCTCTGTTGTGGATGGAGAAGCTGCAAGAGGGGCAAACATGGCCTTGGGAGACAGGGTCAGGAGTGGTATTAAGGCCTCCCTCCAGCCCGGACTCTGGAAGCAGAAGCAGAGATCACGGGGCCTTCTGGGTCCTGTCTCAGCCTCCACAGCTCAGGATGAGAAAAAAAAATACAGATGAGAAAAAGACAAGGAGATCCACAGATCCAGCCCTGGGGATGAATCTACGACCTCCCCAGTTCCCCAGGACCCAGAGCCCAAGCTCCTCCCTCCTCTCTCAGATCAGATCAGGAGGCAGATCGCATAGAGATCAGCAACCAGGGTGCGTTTATTTCCTCCTGGGCCTGGCAGTCTGGGAGCAGAATATAGACAAAGGCACTGGGGCGCCTGGGTCTGGCACGGTCTGGAGCTTGGCCGCCTGGGTGGCAACTATGAAGGGTGTGCCAGGGCGTGCAGGGACTGGAGTCATCCTCCCAGAACCGAGAGAGGGCCCTCGAGGCATGGAAGCATCACAAGTGCTAGGCTTGGCACCGATACAGGGGAGAGGTTACGGAACGGGTGTGTGCAGGGCCTGGTGGGAGTGGGGAGACCCTTGGACAGAGCTTGTTAGAGTGTTCTAGAGCCAAGGGAAACTCCAGGCAGGCATATTGGGCCCTGGATGTTGAGAAGCTGGGTAACAAGTGCTGGGAGAACAAAAGCTGTGGGTCAGCAGGCCCCACAAAGATGTGACTGCAGACAGGATGGGCCCTGGGAGAGACCAAGGCTCCAGGTGACTCCTATAGCGAGGCGGTGAGGGGGTGGGTCTGGGGCTCCAGTTCAGGAATACATAGTCAGCTGCAGCCACTGGGGAGAGGAGGGTGGAGAGTGAGGACAGGGAACCCCAGAGCACCAGCCCCTCTGCCCTCACCCAGGGACTGCTGGCAAAATAGGAGGGAGGGGACTGCAGCTCAGAGCTGGTATGAAGGGCCAAGGGGTAGGGTCCCCCCAGACACCCATACCCCAAGATGGGGGTTCTTACCTCCTGGATGTTCACCTGGATTTGTCCAGTGCCATCTTTGTCAAGAGATTTGAAGGCACCTGGAGGAGGAGATGGGGAGGTTTAGGGGTAGGGAAGGAAGGAGATTGGTTTTTAGCATAATAACATTACACAAATATATGGGATGACAATAATAGCAGCTGGTACTTCACTGTGTGCCCAGCTGTGGGGAAAAGAGCGATCAGACTGTTACTGTGTCTATATAGAAAGAAGTAGACATAAGAGACTCCATTTTGTTCTGTACTTGAGATGCTGTTAATCTGTGACCCTACCCCCAACCTTGTCCTTGCAAGAGACATGTGCTGTGGTGACTCAAGGTTTAACGGATTTTGGGCTGTGCAGGGTGTGCTTTGTTAAACAAGTGTCTGAAGGCAGCTTGCTGGTTAAAAGTCATCACCATTCTCTTAATCTCAAGTACCTAGGGACACATACACTGCGGAAGGTCACAGGGACCTCTGCCTAGGAAAGCAAGGTATTGTCCAAGGTTTCTCCCCATGTGATAGTCTGAAATAAGGCCTCGTGGGAAGGGAAAGACCTGAGGGTCCCCCAGCCTGACACCCGTGAAGGGTCTGTGCTGAGGACTAGTACAAGAGGAAAGAAGGCCTCTTGGCGGTTGTTGGCAGTTGAGATAGAGAAAAGCATCTGTCTCCTGCCTGTCGCTGGGCAATGGAACATCTCGGTGTAAAACCCGATTGTATGTTCTGTTTACTGAGAAAGGAGAAAACCGCCTTAGGGCTGAAGGTGGGACTTGCTAGCTCAATGCTGCTCTTTATGCACTAAAAAGGTTTACGGAGATGTTTGCATATGCATATCAAGGCACAGCACTTTTCCTTAAACTTATGTCACAGAGATCTTTATTCGTATGTCTCACTGCTGACCTTCTCCCTATGATGATCCTCTTATCCTGCCACTTCCCTTTTTCTAAGATGGTAAAGATAATGATCAATAAATATTGAGGGAACTCAGAGACCAGTGCCGCCTGTATGCTGAGCGCCGCTCCCCTGGGCCCACTTTTTCCTTCTCTATACTTTGTCTCTGTGTCTCATTTCTTTTCTCAAGTCTCTCACGAGAAACGCCCACAGGTGTGGAGGGGCAGGCCACCCCTTCACCCAGCTCAGTGTAAAGTGCTTTCCAGGTATTAGCTCATTTAATCCAACTCTGTGAGATAAGTGTCATTTTAAAATGAAGCACAGGCTGGGCATGGTGGTTCACACCTGTAATCCCAACACTTTGGAAGGCCGAGATGGGAGGATCACTTGAGCCCAGGAGTTCGAGACCAATCTGGGCAACAGACACCTCATCTCTGTTTTTTAAAAAAACTAAAAATTAAGAAAAGGAAAAGAAAAAAAAAAATGAGGCAGAGAAGGGAGGGGCCATGCCCCAGGTCACACAGCAAGAAAGTGAAGAAATGAGGATTGGAATCCAAGCTGTTACCCTCCTCGATAATGGCCTCTGTGTACTGATATCACCTCTGCCCAGCCCCAGCCTCCTACTGACATCTATGCTCCATCCTCTCCAGTTCCAAGCCTAACAGGCTACTAGAGGGAGGCTCTGCACTCTCTACTTCCTGCCCCTAGAGTCTTACAGGTAGGTCCCCACATCTGCCCTGAAACTTGACTCCATGTTCCCCACCCACAGGGAATCTAGACACAATGACTACACTATCATTGCTCAGTTACCACAACCCTCAGGTGTCCACACCCACAGCGTCCTGCACTCCCTGGCTGCCTTTTGTTTTTTTTTTTTTTTTTGAGACAGAGTCCCACTGTGTTGCCCAGGCTGGAATGCAGTGGCACAATCTTGGCTCACTGCAACCTCTGCCTCCCAGGTTCAAGTGATTCTCCTGCCTCAGCCTCCTGAGTAGCT